TGGGTTCTAGCACTAAAAATTTATTTAGAATTACTCTCTTATTTCTAGCTCGTGTATTTTACTTACGTTGTGTGGCTTAGCACTGCAGTTCAATTGTTCCCTCATATCACGTGCCTCAGCTTGCCACCAATGACCACCTTAATTAATAATCTAGGCTTTTTTGCATTCTAATGGCCAGGGAAGATAATATTAAGAAACCATATTACTCGATAGAGCCAATAGAGGTCAATAGCAATATACCTATGCATATGATACTGTATCGAACATGCTGAAGACACAACATTTATATGAGTAGCAAAGAGATGCTATTGTCTTTGTTTTATGTTCACTTCTTGTAGCCTCTCCAGTTGATGGCGGATGGTCAGACTGGTCGGATTGGAGCCCATGCCCTCCGTGTGTAGATGCCCTAAGAAACCGCTCCAGGACATGTACAAATCCTGCGNTAATAGCCAGGGAAGATAATATTCAGTAGGAAACCATATTACTCGATAGAGCCAATAGAGGTCAACAGCAATATACCTATGCATATGATACTGTATCGAACATTCTGAAGATACAACATTTATATGAGTAGCAAAGAGATGCTATTGTCTTTGTCTTGTGTTCACTTCTTGTAGCCTCTCCAGTTGATGGCGGATGGTCAGACTGGTCGGATTGGAGCCCATGCCCTCCGTGTGTAGATGCCCTAAGAAACCGCTCCAGGACATGTACAAATCCTGCGCCTGCGTTTGGTGGCCAGCAATGCAGCGGACACTCCGGCGAGATTACGTTTTGTCCTAAAAACTGTCCCGGTGAGAACCATTTTTTAGAGAAGTTTGTATGTAGGAACTAACTCAATAGTCAAGCCATTTCATTACCACGTTATCAGAAAACAATCAGAAATCTTCGGAGATTGTCGGAATTGTCTTTATTCGTACGTTTAAATTCACTCTTTCTCTTATCTTTAGCTATTGAGACGTCAATGCTTGAGCCCACACCTTCATCCACTGTTAAGGCAACGCAAACGCCCTCAAAACCAGTGACTGCACAGCCATCCCCTAATGGTCATTTCAGCTAAATATCTTTTTTTTATTTTTATTATTTGTCCGGCTGCTGGTGTTGAGATATTTTCTCTCGATGAATTTTAGTATTAGTAGTGTAGGCCGTACTCTTCTAATACCTACTATGATCAAAGTGGTCCATTTTATGTTAGCCTCGTCTATAA